ATGGGGGGGGGGGGAGGGGAGGGAGGATGGAGTTGGGTGGGTGGGCGTGGCAGCTGACGCAATGCGACTCGGCCGGTCGTCGCCTCTCGGGAGAGGGAGAGGAGTACAATCGGATTGTGACGAGTCATGCTCGATAGCGGAGGGGGGGGGGGGCGTAGAGTGTTACTGTACGAAAAGAAGGGCTGCAGGCTGCAGTGAGTTGCGGTCGCGATCGCGGACGTTGCGGCGGACAGTTCTGCAGCAGGGCAACAAAGCCTGGCAGAGAGTAGAGGAATGCGATGGAGGCGGGAGACACCGATCACGCGCGGAGATACGAGACATACTCTTGGGTGCCGACACAGGCGACGATCGAGTACACGGTCTTGTGGTTGAGGACCGGAGGGGTGGCGATGACATCGAGGAGAGCCATCGGGGTGAGATGGGCGGCGCCGATGGCAGAGAGATGCTCAAGCGCGTACGTCCGGCGTGGATCCTTGGGGTTGTCAGGCTTCCACATGTCGTAGTTGGTGACGACAATCCACGGTGTGGCCGAGAGCGGTTGCAGCTCAAGATAGCCCGCGGCGTCGTAGCGGTTACGGGCGATGATGGTGCCGTCGTTTTCGGTACCGCCTCCGACAATGACGTACGACGGCGCAATGAGCGGAGTGCGCGATAGCGTTGTCACCGCCGCATCATAGGCAACGGGGCTCGCCGACTCGAGCAGCTCGCGGATGAGAAAAGTCACGGCCTTGCCGCCCTCAAACAGCGCAGCAAAGGCGTTCTCCCACGGGAAGCCCTGGTCACGCTCGTCGACGGTGACCGAGATGGTCTTGGACATGCCGGTGAGGACACCGGCAAAGCCGGCAAAGGTAGTCGCCTCAAACACCGTCGTGTTGCCGCGGACAAAGACGGCGTGGTAGGTAACGTTGGCCAGCGCCGGCGAGAGGCCGTAGTCAAGGTTGCGAGCGTGAACAAGGCGGCCGTCGGCAGTCTTAGTCACGATGGAGGTGCAGTATGCAGTCAACTCGTACAGCACGTTGAGCAGGGTGATCTCGCCGAGCGAGTAGCCCGACGTCGCCGCCATGCCGCGGAGCTCGCCCGCAACCTCGGCGCCAAAGACAAACTCGACATCGGCCGCCACCTTTTCCGCCAGCGGCACATACTTGCTCGGAATGGCTTGCGCAATGAACGCCAGCAGCGCCCCGATCTGCTCCTTGTACGCCTCGGTCACGGCCTTGAAATGGTCCTCGGGCGGCGAGTCGAGATCAATGGTGAACGTGGTGACGTTGCCCGCAGGCAGGCCGGCAAAGCCAGTCGCTTTCGCCGGCATGGCTGCCGCCACCAGCACCAGCACCAGCACCAGTGCAAGGGAAGAGGGAGACATGTTGAGGATGTGAGAATGGGTAGAGGGGGGAAGGGGGAGAGAGGTATAGTCAACGACGTAATCGTGCGTCGACGATGGTGGCGCGCCCGGCCGACACCGACGCCTGCGCCGCTCTGGCGCGGCATGATCAACGGCAGCAACGTGTGCTACGTCCACGCCGTCCTCCAAGCCCTCCTCGGGTCGCCGCGCGTGTACTCGGCCTTCTCCCGCCTCTCACAACCACCCCCACCCTCTCCCCAGCGGGTACGCCGACGCTCGACCCGTTCGCCTCGCTCGTCCGCGACATCGAGACGGCCCAACCGGTGGCCGACGGCGTGGGCCCCGCGTTCGAGCCGGTGTACTTTTACGGTCTCATCGACGCGTCTGTGGCTTCTCGTGACACGGCGGCTTTTTTTTCGGCGATGACGCACACTGTCGATGATGGTGCTTCAATGGCTGGGCTGACCAACTGGCGCGGTAGGCACCACCTCCATGGGACTGGTACCGCTTGCACTGGCGTCGTTGCCACTAGTGCCGTTCACACTGGTGACAACCGGCTCAGATGCGGCCGGCGCAGAACTGGCTGGCGCAGACGGGCCCGAGGCATACGAGCGCGGCTTGCGGCCGCGCTTCCGCTTGATCTTGAGCTCACCGCGGCCGTCGATGAAGGTGCGCGCGCCAGGCTCGAGCGAGGCCGCATCAAAGTCCGGGAACCGCGACTGGGCCTCGGCAATGGAGATCTCGACGTCGTCCTTGGCTGAGAGCCTCCGCGACGACGAGCCACGGCTGGGTGTTGATGTGGCGGAGCGCTTGCGCTTGCGTGACGGCGACGGCGTGGCGACGGGTGCCGAGAGCAGCAGCCGCTCAATGCGGGCTACCGAGTCTGCCACCATCCGCCGTGTCCGCGACGAGACTCCAATGAGGGTGAGCGGAATGTCCAGGTTCTGCATCACCTTGACCGTGTCGACGTACTCAAAGACCCACGACTCAAAGTCGTGCATGCCCAGCACAAGCGCCGTCTCCTGGGTCATCGCCACCTCAAACACGTCCTCGGGCATCTGAACAAGCTCGAGCATGGCGTACGCATGCTTGCGCGGCTGCGGCGCAAGAGGTGCTGCCTCAGCCTTGACCACGGCCTCGGCGCCTCCTGCTGCTTCCGCTACTTCACCCTCGCCCCGCGCGCCGCCGCGCGCTGCCGCCTGAGCAGCCTCGGTCTGCCGCCGTGCAGCCGCCACGGCAAGCGCCTCGGCCTCGGCCTTGGCCTTGGCCGCTGCAGTAACCGCCGGATCGCCGGCCTCGCCTTTGACCGCCACCCGGGTGGCCGAGTACGCCGAGCACGCCTCGGCGCCGGGCATGTTCTGCAGCATGTGCACAATGGTCGGGACGGTAAAGCCAAAGAAGCCCGGTCCAGAAATTGAGTTGGTCTGCCGCTTGGTCGACGATGGGCGGAGCTTGTTGGCGCGGGCGACGACGGCCGACCATGCGGCCGTCGCCGACGTCTCGGTCGCCACCATTGTGGTGTCGACGGACGACGAGACCCGGAACAGCGGCGCGTCGCCACCGTCAAGTACCTCCGAGTAGTACAGCACCTTTTCCGACGGGTCACCCTTGTCGACAGTCGTCCAGTACGTCCGCGCCGTCTTGTATCCGACCGGCCAGATGTAGTTGGCGGCGTGGAAGCCCGGCCGATCCGTGACCACCGTACCCAGCGAGAGCACTGTGTACTTGCCGACGGTCGCCGGGAGGACTGGCGTGCCGTCGGCGTGCCGCTTGTACGGCTTGATGAGCTTGACTGCAGACTCGGTCGGCACAACCCGGACAACCGGCGGGAGCGGCGGCGCGACGCCGGCGAGGTTGAGCGACTCGCGCATCGCCCGCAGCGTATCTTCCTCCAGTCGCGTCCGCGAGCGGCGATACGACGACGACCGCCGTGCGCTCATGTACTCGCTGTTGAACACTCGCTTAAAGCACATCAGTTTGGCCTTGTGCATGGCGCGCAGCGCGTCCATGTTGCGCCGCCGCTCGCGCGCGGCCTCGCGCCGCTGCGCCTCGGCCGCACGTTGCGCCTCGGCCCGCGCCCGCGCCTCGGCCGCCTCGGCCGCCGCACGAGCCGCGGCCTCGGCCGCATGCCGCGCCTCGGCCTCAGCTGCCGCGCGAATTCGCTGGCGCCGCTCCTGGTCTTGCTCCCATGCAGCCTGCAGCTTGGCGTCGATGTCGCTGTCGTCGTCCTTGCTTGCCGAGCTCCGCCCAAACGTCGCCCGCGCCCGTGCCGCCCGCGCTGGCAGGCGCCCGCTCAGCCCAGCGGCCTCAGCTGCCGCCGCAGCTTCGGCCGCCACCGCCGCCCGCGCCGCCGCCGCTGCCGCCCGCGACTCGGCATCCTCCAGCCGCTCTTCGATCTCGTCAAAGACAAGCACCCGAAGGTCGGCGCCGAGCTCACGCTCAGCCTTCTTCCGCGAGCCCTCTAGCGCCTCCAAGACAGCCAGCCACTCGGTGTGGTTCGACGCCACCAGCTCCATGGCGCCAAGTTGGCCATCGGCCGCAGGCGTCGATGCCAGCGGGTGGTGCATGTGCGCCGGCAAGTCCGAGGCCTCGGGTGTGAGCACGTCGCGGAGAACCCGCTGGGCCTTTTTGTGCGACGATGGTGCGAGCGCTGTCACCGTCTCGCCCGTCCCGGTCTCGATGCCCTCAAAGGTCTCGGCCTGCGCGTCAGCAACCGAGGCCTCCACCTCGGCAGGCTGCCGCGATCGGTAGAGTGAGAGCCGGTCGGCATGCCCAAAGTAGTAGTAGTGCCGCCCGGCCGCATCCGAGCCCATGCTCAGAGTCCGATACGCCGTTGGATCGTAGTCGGTGATGCCCACAAGCGTGCCGCGGATGGCGTCGGTGGCGTGGAGCACTCGCTCCACAAGTTCGTACATCAGCAGGATCTGGAACGGCAGCGAGAGGTCGCGGTACAGCACGTCCTCCAGTGGATTGACCCGGCAGAGCGCCAGCGGGAGCGGGTACCCCTCGAGGTAGTCCCTCAGCTTGTACGGCCAGTCCCAGATGGAGACGCCCGAAGTGACGGTGGTCAGCTTCGGCGGCGGATTGGATGGCTTGGGCCCAAATGTGCCCACCGTGGCCGCCCCGCCATGCTCCCGTGCATGATCAATGAGAATCGAAAGCAGCCGTGCATGGATCGAGGCCACCGTCCCCACCCCACGCCCATCCACCAGGTCGTCCACCAAGGCTGTCCGCGAGATCCTCCTCAGCCTCCCCAGCGCCACCGAGAACATGGCACAAAAGTCGACCACGGCCATGACCTCCCACGCCTGCTCTGCATACGCCCTGCGTTGGTCTGTGGCGGAGGTAGGATGGTGAGTATACGGGGGGTGGCTACCCGCAGACTGGTGCAGGGATGGGGAGGGGGAGGGAGGAGGGGGAGGACAGGTGAGAGGGGACAGCACATACCCTGGTCCATGGGAAGCTCATGCGCAAGGTGCGGGACTACCCCGCCCGATGCTGTCTTCTGGCTCTCCTCCGTCTCGTCCATCACGGGTAGAGTGGTGGTGGCCGGCCGGGGGCGGGGTTAGTTGGGGAGAGGAGAGAGAGAAAGGGGAGGGGGCTGAGAATGGGGATCGGGGGGGGAGGGCAACGGGTGAACGGGATTTGAGAGGTAGGAAGGGGGTCAGCGATGGGGAGGAGAACGGGAACTAGGGCTGCGATGGAGGGGGCGCGAGAAGGAGAGCAGAACAGGCGCGAGTATCGGCAGTGAGTGATCCCCTGGATCACAGCTCATCAGCTGCTGACCATGAGGAAAGACCCGAGCTGCGGCAGTTTACTGAAGTCGATGGTACACAGCTCTTCTGATGGCACGGCTCCCCCTGAGATGTCAAGTATGAGTGTCCCAGCCCTTGAGCAGCATGCGATGGTGCTTTCTACTCGCTATGATGTGGTATCAGCTCAGCCAATCGGCCAGAGACCAAAGAGCAGAGCCGGTGAGTGGCCAATGCCAATGGCTGAGTGAGTGACGGCAGCGACGGCAGCGACGGCAGCGACGGCAGAGTCGGCGGGGACGGCACACGCGACTCCAACCATGGCGTCTGCAGGCGGGTACGACCACCTGCTGAAGCTGCTGCTTGTGGGCGATACCGGTGTGGGCAAGTCATGCCTGGTCCTTCAATTCTGTGACGGCGAGTTTCCCGAAGACATGTCCTCGACCATCGGTATGCCCCCCCTGCCCCATGCCCCATGCCCAATGCCCCTTCCTTGCCTTTCGCGCCGCCTCCCCTATGGAACACCGCCCCTCCCTCCCCCCCCTCCCCTCCCCCCCCCCCCCCCACCATACCGCCCCTCTCACCTCCCCCCTCTTACACCCCACATCCACAGGAGTCGACTTCAAGGTGGCGATGATGGAGACGGAGACGGCACGGGTCAAGCTGACGATCTGGGACACGGCCGGGCAGGAGCGGTTCCGCACCCTGACCAAGTCGTACTACCGTGGGGCGACGGGCGTGATTCTGGTGTACGACGTGACGCGGAAGGAGACGTTTGATGGTCTGGAGCAGTGGCTAGCTGAGGTGGACGCGCACTCGACTAACGCAGACGTGGTCAAGATGTTGGTGGCCAACAAGATCGATCTAGACGCCGAGCGGCAGGTCTCGCGTGACCAGGGCGCTGCCTTTGCCCGGGCGCATGCCATGCTGTACATCGAGACGTCGGCAAGAACATCCGAGGGCGTCCGTGACGCCTTTTCCGAGTTGGTCACAAAGGTGCTGGAGACGCCGTCGCTCGCCGCCGTCACCTCGGGCGTGGCAGCCGCTCCGGGCACCACCTCGCTTGCTGCAGATCCGGACGCTCCGCCGCCGGGTACGTGCATGGGCATCCAGTGCTGACGCCGGTGCCTTCCCTCTCGTCACTCTGGCCACTCGTGCCGGGCGTCGCCGGCCAGGCCCATGAGGCTGGCCGCCCGCTGGACGACCCTCGCCGCCGCTGCTTGGCCAGCGAGCGCCGTCATTGACGTCATCGCCGCGGCGAGGCGGACCCAGTCTGCGGCTGGCGCGCGGACAAGAACCTCGCCCGACTCTTCATTGAACGACAACACATCCAGCGTTCCTGCGCCGCCGATCGGTCCCAGCAGCGCCAGTGCAGCGCTCTCGACCGCGTGCTTGAAGCCGGCAGCGCCGACGACGGCCGCGGCCACGGGAGCCACCTCCAGGCGGGCATAGACCCAATCTCCGGCTAGCATGCGCTTCTGCACGCCCCCGCCGCCTGTCTTTGCCACTGCCACCTCCTCGTTCACGAAGGGTGTCTCTTCTGTCGCCATAAGCCTCTTGTGTGTCGTGGGTCGAAGAGCGGTGTATGCCGTGGGGGCGGGCTGGCGGCTGGTCGGCTGGCGGCTGGCGGCGGGCGGCTGGTCGGCTGGCGGGCGGCGGCTGGCGGCCAAAACGCCTGGCGCTCGCGGCGGCCACTCGCCACCGCCACCGCCACACGCCACCCACGCCACCCACGCCACCCACGCCACCCACGCCACCCACGCCACCCACGCCACCCACGCCACCCCCCTCCCCCCCTCCCAGGATGAATCTGAACGTGTAGGCAAGCGGGTCTGGACCGCGATCGAATCGCGTTCCCTGCTCTTCAACCTTCAAGTCGTTGCACTGTATAAACCCCTCCCCTGGAAACTGGTATCGGTAAAGCCGGGCGGAGTGAAGCCGCGCTATTGGGAAGCTCGGTCGAGTGTGATGTGTCCCCCATGCCTAACAACTCTCAAGTTAATATAGCCAGGGAAGCAGTGCGTGGATGTGCGATACGTATGAGCTCACTGCTATTACTCTCACTAGACGACCAGCAGCGTCGAGAGTCACCGGAGACGAAGTACTAAACACAGGCAGCGAGAAAGTAAGTAACCTCGTAGCATACCAAGGGAAGCTGACGCCACACACGTCACTCAAAAAGATTAGCTACACTCCCCTCCACTAAATAAACCGAGAAAGACGACCCC